AAATTAAACGTGTGTTAATACTGATCTCTCTTGGACCTTGCTCTTACATTGGTAGCCTGCTCAAAGCAGACATGTCATTGAGGTGTTTTCCTACATTGGAATTAATCACAGCTTTTGTGGCAGCGTTTTCTTGAGTGTCTCTTCGGGTGGGCCTGGACCTGCCAGCTCACCTCAGTCATGTATTTCAGCACCATGGAAATCAGAATGGAGCTTTTGGGTTCCTTTGCACAGAGAGTTGCCTTAATTTTGCAGGTTTTAATTTTCAATTAGCAATAACTATTTCCTCAAGCATATGACTTCTAATTTTCATTATGAGGTTTAGTTTTGTGCAGCAGACTACAGTACTGCTGAATACAAAATAAGATATTTGTGTAGTCTAGTAGAAGACTTTGCCAAGTGGAAGCTCTCAAGCCTCTCCTGGGTGACGTTATTCTGCCTGATGTGAATGTATCCTGTAAAGAGCTGGGACAGACCTTAGTTCACTGTGGAAATACACCTGGCATTCCACTCCTTGCTCCCTCTCAGACCCAGATTATTGGTCCTCAGGAGGGTTTGTTCAGGATTCTGGAGCTGCCATGGGACCAGATGATGCTGAAGCCCTGCTCATTTGCAGCAATACTCAGTGTTCCTGCTGGAGTCTCCAGGGTTATACAGAGCTCTGTGCTTGTCTGCTTTGGCTATTTTTAAACTTTTCTGCCTTCTCACCTTAATGACTTGCTAGGAGAGCACTTTGAATCCCCACAAAGGCTTTTTGGAAAACTTCGTAGAAGAGATTTAGTGCTGGATTTTCTTTTTTCATGTTCCTTCATAAAGTGTGATGTTAGAACACCATATTCACGTCTGGTGGGCTTGAACAGTTGATGATATAAAATACCTGACCCAAATATTTTTATCAAGGAGAGAGCTTGATATTAAAAAAATCCACGGGAAAAGCAGGTAAATTATTATAAGGTTGAATGGGAACACAATGCTGAGGCAAAATGAAAGGAGTGAGGGTGGGGAGTAAAAAAAACTTCTCTTATTCCAGGTGTGGAGTAAAGAGGGAGGAGATTTGCTTTGGAGAAATAAAGACATCTAAAGAAGTGGTGAGAAACAGATACTACTATGAGCACAGTATATAGTGCTCAAACCAAAGCATGAAAGGAAAGCTGACCTCAAAGCCAGGCTGTTCCCCTCCAAGTTACAAAATGAAGTAATGGTTTTAATTTTGTTTTGTTTTCTTTGCTTAAATAAACAGGAGGCTCAGCAGCGGAACATTAAATGCCGTGTGGAAGTGGTGCTGCTGAGCCTTTGGCTGAAGTTTCACGGTGAGTTATCACTGCTCCTGGAAGACTGAACCCATCCCTTCCCCTTGGGCAGTGCTGGCATGAAGACGGCTGTGCCATGGACTGAAGAGCTCAGCTGGGCTAAAATGAGGCGGCAAAGGAATCAACGTCAACGGGCGGTTTTCAACCCAGTTTCCTGGTTGATCCCGCCGTGTGTCCCCTCACACGCACAGGGCCGGCCGAGGGACATGGGCGCTGGCACCATGAGCAGAACGCTTCCGCCACCATCGCCGGCTTACGCAGCTTTGAAGTGTCCGTGCAATTACAGTTTGAGTAAGAAACACCTGTCGCGCCCTAGTTTCACCACAGCCGAGGTGTGTTCGGCGGGATTTATCTCAGACCTCAGTGCGGAGGCCGGACGGGCCCTCAGGGCGGGCGCGGGGCGCCATCTTGGCGCGGGCAGCGCTGAGGCGCAGTGACCGCCAGGTGGCGCCGGGGCGCGCGCGGCCGCCCGCGGGGACGGGCGGGAGGGTCTGAGGGGAGCGGCGTGAGGGGAGGCACCGCCACCCACGGACACCCACGGACACACCCCCGCGGGGAGGGCAGGCACCGATACACACAGCGGGGGCGGCAACGACGGTAGGGGAGGGTGTAGAGCATCCTTATGGGGAGCGGCTGGGGAGGCTGAGGTCAGACCTCGCCGGGGTCTGCAGCTTCCTCACGAGGGGAAGTGGAGGGACAGCACCCGTTCCTGCTCGGTGGAGACAGGGCCTGAATGGCCTGAAGCTGTGTCAGGGGAGGGTTAGGCTGGATATCAGGAGACTGTTCTCCCTCAGAGGGTGGTTGGGCACTGAACAGGCTCCCCAGGGCAGTGGTCACGGCCCCGAGGCTGACAGAGCTCAGGGAGTGTTTGGCCAATGCTCTCATGGACAGGGTGGGATTGTTGGGGTGTCCTGTGCAGGGCCAGGAGTTGAACTGGATGATCCTTGTGGGTCCCTCCGAACTCATGATATTCTGTGATATCTCCAAGGCAGGTGCCAGACTCTTTTTGGTGGTGCCCAGTGAGAGGATGAGGAGCCATGGCCATAAACTAAAACACAACAAGTTCTACCTCAACCTGAGGAAGAAATTCTTTCCATGAGGGTGGCAGAGCCCTGGAACAGCTCCCCAGGGCTGACATGGAGTCTCCCTCTCCGGAGACAGAAGTTCACCCTGGTGGAGTAGCTGAGTGGGGGGTACAACATTTGTAGCACACTGATTATTTTCACCATTGTCACCGCCTAGTTGTGGGCTGAACCATTCAGAGCAAGAGATCTGCGTTGCTATTTAGCTATTTTTGACTTCTATCCGAGCCTCTATCAGTCTCTGGCTTTGTCATGGGCATGTCTTGCTCATGGAAAGGAGGCATTGTTGCTTCCAGAGGAAATGACATAGAGTGGAAAGAAACAAAAGCTTGGCTGCTCACATCTCACATGGTTAGAAGGGGACTTCAGAGGAGAAGAGCTCCTTCGTAAGAATGGCTCACGGTTAGTGGCTGCTGGAGCAGCTCTTTTTCCATTCATCTTTTGACAAAAATAGCTGGAAAGGAGCTTGTGAACCTCAGAGTCTATTTTTTGATTTGTCTTTGGATTCTCTAGTACAGCACATCTAGTCTGTGCAAAATGTAGAACACAAGAGATGGTTTTTTTCAGCCAAAAGTCCCTTGAGTTCATTCCTGAAAGGTAGAGATTGCTTCAGTGATACAGCATCACCTGCTCAAAGCCAGGGCTTTGAATCAATAGCTCTTGACTGCTGATTGTGTTCTGTCTCATTTGCTATTAACTTCCTTCACTCAATTCTTCCGTTTGGGAGCTAATGCTAAGGTTTTTTTATGTTCCTCGTGCATTTTCCCATGGGCCAGTCATGCACCTCACATTTCTGGCTCTGGTGTAGGGAACGTGGTTGGCTCGTTCAGATGGATCCTGTGAGCTTTTAAACCTCTTGTGAGACTTCTTCTCTTGCCAGCCTTTCCTACCCCAGCGTCTTGTATATGCTGTTCTCCTGCTGTTTCCATGGGTCAGTGCTGGTTACCTTGTGAGATAGGGTTCTTTGTGCTTCTTCTGTACCTTAAAGCAAGATTGGAAAAGATTCCTCCTCAGACATGTACAGCTGGTTTAGTCACGTGTGGAAATTCCCTGTTTCCATTTCTCTGGCCCTTGATCCTTGAAGAGGATTTACAGGTAGATACAAAATCTCCTTGTATTGATACTTTTTTATTTTAATGCGTATTTTGATCCTCCAGCATACTCACCAGTTACAGAACCACAGGGGAGTGGTTCTCAAGCCATTGAACTTTGGGCAGAACTTGCTCCAGGATATATTTATAAATCCTGCTTTATGATGGTTCCCCAGAGCAGCTGCTGATGGCTCATCTTTGTCTCATGGTGCTTTCAGAACCTGTTCCTGAGGCCCTGTGTGTGAAACCTGGTGTCATCACTGTGAAAAGAGAGGAAGAGGGTTTTTTTGGGTCATTATGTCTGGGATTTGCTCACTTCCAAACAAACCAACCTCTTCCAAACAAACCTTCTCTCTTCTCACCACTGAGCTGTTCAGTTTACAGTGCTTACTTTTTCTTATGAGCCTTTTACGTTAACATGGGATTCAAGATTGAAAAAGAATATAGATAAATCTTTTCCAAAAAGTCCCTGTGACAACTAGGATTTGCACAGTGTCTTTCACTTTTGGCTCTTGCTACTTTTTTTTCCTTTTCCTGAAAAAATAAGAGTTTCTATAAAATATGAAACAACAGAAATCTGTGCTTGGTTAAGTGGTGGAGCCTGCCCTGCATCAGTGTGCTGGCCCTGCTTTGTGTTCTCATTCATCATTCTTACTCTGCTGGTGCTGCCTCCAGACTGACCTCAGTGCTGTTGGTTTGCCACCTCCTTGGGCTTGGTCTTGCTGATTTGAGTTGGAAGACCAAGCTCAGTCAAACCTTCCCTCCTCCAGTCAGCACAGTAAAGTCTAGGAAGAGAAATAGCCTTTTTTCCCATGGACTGCTATGCTCTGGTGCTTATGCTGAGCACTTGACTAAATCTATGGTAAGATAAAGTAAAATACATTGCACCAGGGGAAATAAATCTTGTTTTATAGTTAGGGGTTCAGGGCAGTCCTGCTCTCTCTGGCTCATGAGAGGTTGCTGTACCAAGAGAATAATTTTCCTTTGTCATGCGCTGACTCCTCTCGAACTCGCTGTCGCTGTGGTTCTGCAAACTGCTGCACAATGGCTCTTCATGAATCATATTTGCATATCATTTCCCCTCAGCACAGGCTGCTGCTGGCAGATCAGCTCTCTTGTGTCTTGTATTGGTCGTTTTCTTTCACCCTGGAAGAAAGATGGTTTAAATTTGTTCCGTGTCTGCTCTGACATTGTGGTGGTAGTTTCTGTGCTGGCTCTGTGCACCAGAGCTCTGGCTCTGCCCCAGACTCTGGTTCATAGTTGCATTAGTTATCAGAATCATTACAGTAGCATTTCACTGTAAGAGTGGCTTTTTCCAGGTCCTTTCTGAGACCAACATGAGCAAGTAAGTTTGTACCTTCTCTCTGGAAATTCCAGGCTCAGATTTTAACCTGGATTTGTTTGCCTGAATATGAACCTGACCTCAGACGACCAATTTGTTCTTCACATGTGCTTTATGATAGAGGAGAGTTTTTCTGCCCACCATTGACCCAAATGAATTCAACAGAGCAAACCTGGAATCCATCTGCTTCATCTCCTCTGTTGTGTGTTAATTCTGTATTTTATTTTACGCTGGGAAATATCAGTGTGGCTCCATTGACAGAGATCCTGTTGGACACGAGGGACATACTGTAAAGGTCTCAGGGAGTCTCTGGGGCTGCAGTCATGTCACTGCTGGGGCCAGTGTACATTTGGTGGCTGCAGTGCTGAGACCAGGAGTGCAGGAGACACTGTTGGTTTGTTTGCAGTAGAAAGCTGCTACTGTTTGATATGTCTGTTTGATCTTCTAATGCAGAACACTTAGAGCACTATAAAAACACTTGATCTGCATATACTCATTCTGGTAATAAAAGTACCATAAAATTTTACTAGGAGTAATTTTATATGTATATTGCTTCATTTATACTTAGTTTTTAAAACATGACTTCTTAAAAAAAACCACACACAAATGAGACATATGATCATCAGTAAAATGTCTAAGTACCTGTTGGAGTTTATAAAGCGTGTTCCATGGATTAAATGATCTACAGCAGTCATTTATGCTTTATTTGAGCTTCTAGATTAAATCTGAAAACGCCCAGAAAATTCTCTGCACTATTAGCCCGATGCCAGGTTCTCTCCATTCTAGCTAAAAGATCTTTACTTTTTCCTATGAGGTTAAGGAAAGAGTATCTTCTAGCTCAGTCACTGGGACAAAAATCTCAGCTGAAGTGATCCTCGTTCCTCTGTATCCTTTAAGTCTGTGAAAATCATAGCACAGCTTTAATCCAGAGTGAACCAAGACCTCCTCTACTCCACTGCAGCTGAGAAAGAAAACTTGTATAGAAGTGGGCTCTACTGCCTCTCATTTCTCTTGTCAGTGTGTTGCTGCCCTGTTTTACAGGTTAGAATAACTTTTTGGGTGTTCTCAGGAGGTTTTCTTGGTTTTGCTTTTATCTTTCCCTTCAGAGAGTTATTCTCAGTTCTTGGCTTATCCATCACTTTTGGCCTGTACATTGCAAGAGCTGCAGTGCTGTTTGGAGACGTATCTGGCTGCCACTGAACAAAGCACTGGCAGGTGTTATGTAGGAAATTGGGTAATTCTTGCTAATACAACTCTTGGCAGGACTTCAGATAAGGTTCAGGCTCTCCTGTGGATGCCAGAAACAGGCTTGGTTGTAGTAGGTAACAAAAGAAAATGTTTATTATATTAGGCCCTTGTGATAACTTTCTGAATAGGTGTATTTTGAAGTATTCACATGAAAAAAACAATGCAGTGTTTATCTTCAGGCTTCATCCTCATGTGAGTTACTTTTTTTTCATGCAGATCAGAAGTGATATGTCAGAGACTCTGGATGAGACCATTCCACTCATTAAAGACAAGGTGCTGGAGAGGAACTACATCTTAGCCAAAGCTGATAAACTAGAGGTTTGTTCACTAGAAAATTTACATCCTTCTCTTTATATATTTATGGGTTAACTGTCCAGGATTTTATATGGAGCACTCAGATGTTTATGGCCCTCTATTGTCTTGTGTTTGGTTTTAAATCAGTGTGTTTACCCATGGTTCAGCACATATACATGTTTATGGTTTTGGAACATCACTGAGTAATTTATTGCTGTGGATTCTACAATTAAAAATGGTAGATGAAAAGCATTAGTTGTGGTTCCAATGTTAATAATTATGCTAATAATGTTAATCTGTTTTGTGACCTGAAGGAGTATGTGTGAAACCATTTGTAACCAAAAATTCAGGTCTCACGTGCAGTGCAGATGTACCCATTTTAAATTGCTGGGTATTGTCTGATGCCATAGCAGAGATCTCTGAGCTGCCCTGTTCTGCTGTGGCTGCTCTGGGGTTTGGTGCATCCCAGCAGAGGGAAGCTGGTGTGACTTGCTCTCTGCCCTCCCCATGGTTCGTGAGCAGTGTGGTAACATTTGTGTCAGCTGAGGGCGAGTGTGCCTCTGGGAGGAGTGTAATGAAAACACGAGCAGAGAAATTGTGTAATGTTTAAAACCAGTTTTAACTGACTCGAAGTGAAACCAAGTGGTTGTGCCAAATCTGTTTGCGGTTGTCCATCCCTTCCCCCTGTTCTGTGGGACATCATTGCAGAGGTGCCCCTTCAGCATCTCTTGCCACGGGAAAATTCAGACTGTCCTGACAATATCTGTGGGTGAGTTTACACTGTAATCATAGTGCCCAACTTGGGTGTCTTCTCTCCATAGCCTAGATCAGAGAGGGTAAAAAAGTTTGAGTGCCCCTCTCTGAACAGTGTGTGTGTATTTATTTCAGCTACGTTTTTTTCCTCTTCTAATTAAACAAGGATGCCATTCTAAATGCAAGGGAAATCTCCTGCTCAGTGTTCTGCAATTAGATTTCAAAATCTTCTAATTTTTTTTTCATCTTTCACTGTGGTTTTTTGGGTTTTCAGAGATTTGTTTCATAAACACTTCCAGTGCACAGTAATGCTGGGAGAGGGATTTAACCATAGGAGAAAAGTGAGTAACCAGGATTCACTCTTTGTGTTTGGAATATCCAGAGGTGGGCTGAGAAGAAAGGACCTTGTACTAAATATAAATTACAAACATGCCTGGGTGAGTGTGACGGGTTCTAAGAATATAAAACCTCCAGAGGGAACAGAGCAGAGGAAGGAACTTTCTCTTGTGAAGTTTGCGGCTCTGTGGTCTGCTGTAAAGCTTGAACTTTGTATGGGAGAAACTGTGATTTCAAATCGTTTTATTCAGAGATGTTATCTGTGCCCTGGCTGAATGGGGTGCAGCAATCTTAGAGAAAGGACAGGAAATCTATTTTAGAAAACTTCAGCATGTGGAGTTTAAAGAAAACACCAGTATCTCCCAATGGAAGAAAGCTGAATGTTAGCAACTCTTGCTGTTTTGCAGCTTGTGATAGCTGGGGTATTCTTAAAGCTAGAAATTTTCTTTCAATGTCATTGGCTGAAAATCTTGTCAAATATTTATTTTTAGAGTAATTTTTAACCCTTGTATAATTGCAGGGAAAGGCTTATAAAATCATAACCTCCAAAAAATCTCATGCTGATGGTTTGGACAAAAAATGCCCATTTGTTAGATAACTTTTCTGGAGGCTTTTTATTGTATTTTTGTTTCTCCTGATGTTTTAATCTCTACAACAACAGCTGCTTGTCTGAGGTGGGGTTTGCTGGCTTGTCTGGGCTGAGGTGCTGGCTAATGGTTTTTCCTGGTACCTGGGGTAGAGTCTCAGAAATTGAAGTGGGAAATTGATAGTGGAATATGAAGCATTCTCTGTGTTACTTTATTGGTTCAACTGAGCTCAGTAATGAGCAGAAATTATTGATGAGTTAGACTGAGAGACCTGTACTTAAGTCCTTTCCAGTGGCTGCGGGTGTGAAGTGTGGATGTGGAATCCCAGCCTTCTGGCTGCAGTCTCCATGGACTGATAGGAGATTGATTCTCAGAGAGAAGAAAGCTCAGGAGGAGTAAAGAGCTGTGTAGAGTTTGTTTTGCTCAGTGCAGAAGACAGCAAACTGTGTCTTATCAAAAATAAACCACGGGAATCAGAAATCTTTCCTATACTGAGACTTTGCATTTTTTAACTTTTGCAGATCAGCCTTCAAATGTAACTTGATGTAGGTGTCAGCCTCACTCTTTGCTATATATTAGTAGTTCCTCTTCTTGAGGACTCCAAAGCAGCACATATTGGAATTTCTGTTACTGTCTTTGCCACTGACAATGTGTGATCACATATATGTCACGCTACTTCTTTGTGTCCTAATTTACCTCACAAGATAATGTTTGGTGTTTCCAAAGTGCTATGAGATTTTTCTGACAGCCTTGAAGAAAAATATTTGTTAAATTAATACTCAGCCATAGCAGATGGGAAAGATGAGAGGAGAGAAAATAGAGCAGAGTATTTCAAAACTGGGGGTGTACTATGTTCATATTTAAAACTCATTAATTTTCAAGTGCTGAGTGCTACAAGCCATTTTCTTAATAATGGGGAAAATAAAAAAGTCTGGAGCGTGCTAAAATATTTGATGTTAAGGACTTTGGGGGTATGTTCAGCTTATTTTACCTGCAGCTCTGCTTGAAGTTAATCCAGTCCCTTTCTGACTTGGACTGATGCATTAACTGCTTTGGCAGCCCCAGAAAGGTCACACTGGTTCTGTGTTGAGAAAATGAACACTTGAAAATGGGAACATTCAGGGAGGGGATGCAGTAGGCCCAGAAGTCAAGATTTCAGCTGTCACAACGCTGTGACAGTTTGCAGTTTTTAAGTGGGCATGAACAGAAGTCAAAATACAAAATACAGCCTATTCCCACATGAGCCAGTTCTGTTGGGCTGTACTTGGAGCAGGTGTAAAAAGTCTTTGCACTAGACATTGTTAGACATGTCCTTGTCAGACTGTGCAGAGCAGGACAGCACAGTGACACCTCCATGCAGCTCATGTTACAGACACAGCCATGGGGGGACGTGGCAGTGTCACCGCTGCTCTCTGGGAAGAGTTGGGGCAGAGAGGCTCTTGTACAAACAGGTGCCACTTAGGGGGGAAATCAGCTTTTAATTCAGCCATTGTGCTGCAATGGCAGCAGAAAAAAAAACCCATTTTCTCATTTATGTGCAGCAAAGAAGTTAAAATAACAATCCAGATTCCTTTTTTTAATCAGTGCTAAGATTGGCTTCTGACTTCCTGTTCTCTAATGGGAGGGATTAAGCCCTTTATGTTTTGAAAGAGATCGAGCCAATTCCTGTTGCAAAATTCCAGTACTGAGATCAAATGAATGAATAAAAACACTTAGGAAAAACTTGATTTGTCAGAAAGGCACCTTCATTAGTGCTCTCATCACTTCTCTGTCATAGGAATTGTCTTCAAGCTATAATTGCATCTCACTGACAAAGGCTTCTGGCTACATATGTAAAGATTTGTAAAATGCTGCCTTTCTGTAAACTGGTCTGATCTGTGCCAGCGAGCAGGAACCAGAGCTGCTCCTCTGAGTCAGTGCCAGGGACTATTGGTTAGTTCAGCTTGAAATACTCTCTGCAGTGCACGGTCACTGGGCTCTGGAAAGGCAGGGAAACATCTTCCTTCAGCAGCGTTTTACATAACATTCCCTGTGCAGAGTTACAGTGAATTACTCCCAGAGCAGATACTGGCTGGCACCAGGCAATGGCAGGAACATCTCCTCACCTCCCTTTTCACGTTCCTGTGCTCCTGCTGTAAGGATGGAAGTGCCTGCATGTGGCTGCCCGGGCAATGGGGATGGCTGCAGCTGGGGCAGCTTCCCTGTCTGTACCTGCAATTCTGTCCCTACGAGCTCTGTGCTGTATTTACACTGTCACACAGGGCTGGCTGTGCTCAGTGTTACAAAACAACACGTGTGAAATACTCACGGATCAGGGCTCCTGTTCATAAACCTGGGCTGTGCTGCTGTCAGCTCTTAAAAAACCCAAAGCAACAAAAGAATAAAAACACCCCAGGGCCAGCAGGGCATGTGCTGGGAAAGGTGCTCTTGGGTCCCTTTCTCAGCAGAATCACCTGCCTGGATTTTTCTGGCAGCATCCCAGTTGTTTGTTACAGGTGCTGTTTGTACAGCTGGTGTTAAGAGACATTAACCACATTTCCCAAAATATTGCAACTCCCTTACTAGAAAAGGATGACTCTGTTCCCCGTTTCAGGGTTTCCTTGGTTATACTATTTTTCTCAGTTTATGCTCATTATGCACATTAAATTCTAGCTGAATGTAAAAGTCTAGTTAAATTAGATGAAGAAACATCTTGCAGATTGCATGATGTTTGGGGCTAAAGATCTCAAATGGACTTTTATACACTGAGAATTTGCGTTCTTGCCAGCCATAGTTGTGGTGACCTTGTTGGGAATTTTGTTTTACCAAATTTCTGTGGCTTATTGTCTCCACAGCACGTTATGCTCTTCCACTTAGTGCTGCAACCATCCAATATATACTTTTGGAACAGTGTCCCACCAGAGGAATGTCTGTGGAAATTGTGGTCTCAGTGTGACAAAAGCAAAAACTTCTGTGTTTATTTTGTTCCTATTTTTAATTCTGCACAGAAAAAGAAAAAAAATAACCTTTAAAATTATTATCTGTTTATAAGCATTTTGCTTTAAAAAAAAGTTCATAATTTATACTTGGGGATCAACGGGGGTTGAAAATCACTGCAACTGTCTTCATGCAAGCTGTTCTGTCTTTGAGCTTCCAGTTTAATGTATGCAGTCTGCCACGTTAATTCTTGAAGTAGCTCCTAAGTGGGAGGCTGTAAAAGGGGTGATCTTGGACCAATATACTTTTGAAAATAGGAACTTGAATATTGCAGAGGAGACACTCGTCTGGTTCCTCGTGTCAAAACGGTCTCGAGTAAATAAGCAATTTTAGAGTAGTCTTCAAAATTGTGAAAGGGGTTAATAAAATCTC